CAAACCCCCAAACCCCAAACCACTAAACCACTAAACCCTCAAACCCCAAGCCCGAACCCCCTTAATTCGTTTTTGTTATAGTATAATGGGACTACTTAGGCCCCTTTTTTTTCAACGCCTTCGTTTCAGGACTTCGCCTCGCCGAGCGCCTGGACCTGGCCTCGGCCTCGCTGCCAGGCGAAGCGCCCCCGCCCCCTGGCGCCTTTTCTTCCCACAGGGGCCTCTTACAGACTCCCTTTTCCTTTACATATATATATATATATACACATGTATATCACGTATTTTTTTTTGGGGGGGGGAGGGGTTTAAGGTTTGGCTTTGCATGGGTTCTACGTAGACTCGGTGTTGGACAGCGGTCGGGCTGCTTTCTGCGGTTGCTCGGGGGGGCCTTGGGAGTTTAGGATTCAAGGGGTTTAGCCCTAAGGGCCGGCGTCACGACCGAACCCGCTTCAGCCTGGCGCTAGACCCTCGACGCTTCATGTGGACCCCTGATTAGTGAAGGCACCCTCCCTTGGTAAGCCTTAGCAAGGATTATCTGCTGTGGGGCTTCTTATGCGAGAGCTCACTTGAAGCGAGGGGGTTGGTTAATCAGTGATCTACAGTAGGCCATTAGGCTTCATCCTTCAGCCTCAAACAACAGGCTTAAGCATCTGTATCAGGTCCTACTTCCAAAGACAATTCAAGTCCCAAGTGCTTCATCACAACAAAGCGTTGTGCTTGCATTTTAAGGGCTTCAAGCCCTCAACCTAAACAAGATCTAGGCAAGAACAGCATAGGTACGCACTGTACGACTCCATTGTGAGCTTGCCCACTCTTGTAGTACTGTTCTGTTGTATCGTTTGCCTTTTTGTACCGCTCTTCCCTCATGGGACTATGGCACTCTGCTGTGTGGCCGTACTACAGCGTACCGCCATGTTCTTGTACCATCTGCCCCAAACCGTTTACCATAATCCCTGAACCCTAAGGGCTAAACCCTAAACCAGATCTTGGCAGGCTGGAGCAAAAGTCAGTACCCTAAACCCCAAAACCCGAGCCTCAGCGCCTCTTAAAGCTCCCGGTGGAGGAAGCCTCACGACCTCGGCTGGCCCCGGCTCCTCGGCGACCAAGGGCTTTGGTTCGTAGGCCGAGGATTGGGAGAGAGAAGCTCAAGAAGCCTGAGGAAATAGCAGTACTATTTCTTAAGGCTCCCTGCATACTTGTAGTGTAGGATACATCAAACTGAAACCATCAGGGGTCCTCTACATCAAAGTTCAGGCTTCGGGTTCAGGGCCGAGGCGCTACACCTCGACAGCGCAGGGTTCGAGTTTAGGGCGGTGGATTCTGATGCGGCTTGAGTAGCATTGTGGGCTTCTGAAGTAATCCTGTCGTTTACCGGAGTTTCTGCATAGTTCACGCAAGGCTTCTTGGAAGGTGTCATGGTCGTGTGTGGCGTCTGTGGAGTTTGTCGCACGAAGGTCTAGGTTTGAGCAGTATGTCTAGTTTAGGGCTTGCATGGGATCTGGTGGAGCCTCGTGCTCCTTACAGCAATTGTTCTTACAACAACCTAGGTGTACAAGTAGCTGGGAACTTCAGAAAGCTTAGGGGACAAGCTTTCTGTTGATGATTCAACACTTTTCCTGCTGAATCGTTCTTCTCACGCCCTGCCCAAATCCCGCTCCCCTGCAAGCAACTCTAAGGTTCAGCATGTTTCAACCATCATGCCCTCAATCGCTTGACCAGGGTTGGTGGCGAGCGTTTGTGATCTGGCATAGAGTTCCTTACTGTCCAGTTTGCGGCATCGGGGATGGCGCGGATTAAGCGAAACACCACCTCAACCACCCTTCAAGCTCCGCTTCGAGTCCTTCGAAACGTAATCTTATCAGCAAATCCTTGAAACCCCTATTTGTAAGAAGAGTTGTAGCTTTTGCAGAAGACAGCACACGCAAAGCCCTAAACCCTGAACCCCAGACACTGAAATCCTAAACCCTAAACGTTGAGACTTGGAACCCTAACCCTAAAAGCTCAACCTCCTGCGCCCGGCTTGTCAGGGGGCGAAGCTGACGGCTTTCATCCGCTTCCTTGGTCCTTGCGCGAAGCTCAGGGTTGGAAAGTGATTGAGTTATTGAGTTTAGGGTTTTGGGCCTTTAGGGCTTAGGGCTGGTTCAGGGCGCAGAGTCCAAGGAAGGCTTTAGAAATTTGGCGGGGCTTAGGGTTCATCGCATCTGAGGACGGTACAGTTTCGTTTATCAACAAGATTAAGATCGAGCTTGCAGTCATGGTGGGAGCTGGGAGCTGGAGCATGGAAGATGGGCTGGCTTTGACAATTTGAGAGGTCCTTTCCCTGGGCATTAGGTCGCCCGTGAGATGCGAGACAGGTACCGTAAATCTCGGCCGACGGATCCCCTGACCCCCACTTCTGAGCAGTCAGTATCGCTGCACCCCCATTCCGCAGTCAAGGATTCCGGAACCCTGAGCCGCCATCGTGGCCTGCATTTTAGCTAAGATCGTTCACCAAGCTTCCTCTGGCGCAAGTGTGAGCTCTCGACCCATTTCGCAAATCGAGTCTTAACCCTGCGCATGGGCCCTGGACCCCAAACTCCTGGACCCAAATGGGTTCTGATGCAGGCCCCAACTCCCCCCTAATTTCCAGGCGGAGGGTTTGAGGCTTCCAGGATTGTAGGCTTTGGGTTTCGGGGGGTTTCGCGCTGTCACTGGACGTTAGAGGCGATGGTTAGCTGCTCTTGGCGGTTTCGGGTCGATGCTCGAGGCCGTCCCCGGAAGTGAAGAAGCCCCCGTCTACGGACGCAGGCCTTCCATGAACGTTTCCGTTTGCTAGGGCTACTTCCCCGACTACCTCAATTCTCCATGTCGGGGCTCTGAAATTTTGAGTCATCCGGACTGGCCGAAGACCTGCTGGGCTTTGTGGGAGCTTGCCAAACCAGAACCCCAATCCAAGACTCCAAGCCGTTGCACTTGAAAAAGCCAGTCCGAAGCTCACAATCCGGAACACGAGGATCCCGCAGTCCTCGCACACTTCACCACAGCATCCCGAATCACACCATACTCTGCGTTGCTGTGTTGCGTGTTTGGCATGTCTTGATGTGATTTATCCCCTGTGCTGACGTGATCAATTCCCTGAGTCAGAGTCTCGGCTAGATGGACATTTTCCGTTCGGCGCCTGATGCATGTTAACCTCTGAGTAACAACGACTGAGACTCTCGCATCGAGCTGCAATAGAATCGGGATCGAAAGATACCTCATGACTCTGCAACACTCCCGCGGAAGCCTAAGCCTAAATCGCTAGAAACAGGTACCTTTCAATGGGAATCCTGCATTTTGAACAGCAATGCTGCTCCACCCTCACATCTTTAAACCTTAGAATCCTAAGTCCAAAGTCCTGACCCCAAACCCTAAACCCCCAAACGCTTTGAAAGCCCGGAGCAGCTGAACTTGCGTTTCACAGGCACACTGACCAGCTCGTCAACCAGCTCCTCCCAAAGCATAAAGCTCGCCTCTGGGTTTCCCATGCAGGATGCCCAGATGTTTCTTCTGGGTGACGTTTTTTGGGGGTTTTCTTCAACGAGAGCATATGTAGGGCTGGCAGATGCGAATACTTGGCGATTGTATGGGGTCCCTTGTGCTGTGACACACGGGCTCCTCTGAGACAAGGCCCTATAAGGGGTTTGCCTAGGACTTTCAAGAGGGGAGGTGCAGCGAAGAGACAGTGAGCGTCTTAATTTTGCTGACCGGACGCCCTCATCTCGGTTCCTTTCATCTTCTGATGCGTTCTGGATTTACGACTGTATGCAAGGTTCCCGTGGGTTTCAAAAGCAGTCAGAACAGAACACCCACAGCTCGAGGTCAGAGGCTAGCTCGAGCTCGGCTGGCGGCTGAGCTTTTACACTTGTCCACCTGTCCAAGGATTTTACAAGAGGTCTGTCAAACGTTTTGTAAGGATGCGACTTTTAGGCAGCCGGCGTTCTTCAGTTTTGAGTGACAGTTTGAAAGTTTGGTGGTTGGGATTATATCGGATTAGAACTTACGATTCAGCGTGCAGAGCTTGGAATATCATTCCTGTCACCAGCATATCACGGCTTACCGTTAGTGAGTAACTTGTTCTTCCTGTCCGCGACATAATGATGGGTATTCGTGACGCTGTCTGTCATCATTTCCATGTCCACTATTGCGGAAGCAAGGGTGGTCGAGTCGTCCTTGCACAGTGGCTCTGCTATAAAGAGCTTCGGCGACTGTTGTCCGCGACCCTAGACACAGGTATCTGCCCAACATACTTCTCCTGGCTTCTGCCGAGCTCAGAGGCAAATCCTCCCGAAACCGAAGCAATAATGGTTCAGCAATGCAACCATGCTCAACAGACAGTACCAGTTTCTACTTCTGAAAGCTTCGCATCGTCCGCCTCGGCCCTCGGCCCGGTCGCAGGCGCAGGGTCCAAGAAAACGACGAATGTGGCTGCGGGCGGGTGTTGGGGGCCGGGGGGGGAGGGCATTAAGAGCTGGCTCTGGGCGAAAAAGACAAGATCTGAGCTCAACACTGATTCCCCGAAATCGTCAACGACGGCCCAGTCCCGAAAGCCCAGGATCAATCGCACAAAGCTCCCGAAGGGGTGCTGCAAGGCATTCGACCGGTAGGCAAGGTGGCCTGGTCTTGTCAGAAGCCTTCTATGTTGGTGAGCAAGACTGTCGAAATAGTTTCTGAACCTGCATGTGCAGCTTATGGGTTGTGACTGCGTGGGGTTCGAGGGTGCAGGATTCAGGGGCTGCGAGACGTAGAAGGTTGAGGGTTCAGGGGCTGGAGCCGGATCTTTGCTACGGCCGTCGCGCGCAAACTTCGTCATGCTCCCGGTTGCAACTAGCTGCAACTAGCTTCTGTGAGTCCTGTAGCACCCTGACGTCATTCTTTCTGAAGAGTTCCCAAACCCTAAGGCCGAAGCACTGCGACACTGTCTGGAATTCGCAACGCTCAGTCAAATCTATGGAGGACCTGTGCCACGGCCTTCCGGGAGCATGCGCCTCGCTCAGCGGTTGGCACAAGAGGCGTCGCTTGCTCGGGAGTGCTTAGGTGATGGTGACGATGCTGCATACGCGGTTGTTATGGTTGTTGCTGACAGTACTCTTGGCCCTTACGCACAGAATGCTTGTACATCTAGCATCTCGTAGCAACTCCACAAGCAGTCATTATCACAGTCTGCGTCCTCACATGGCAGGTCACCGCGAAGCAACTGGCTGAGCTTCGCTCCTTCCGGCATCCGCCGGCGGTGGTTTGCCAAGTGCTCGAGGCAGGCCATGGGCACCTTAGGGATTGAGGGTGGAGGGCCGGGCGTCCTTGATGTTGGTTTTGGGTCTCGAGGGATTTAGGGCTTAGAAGTCTAGGCTTTTCGGGTTCAGGTTCAGGGCCGAGGGTTCAGAGTTCAGGGTTGCCACGTAGCCCGAGCAAAGCCAGGCGGGGTTAGGATCTTGTGCATGAGGTTGCAGAGTGTAGAGGCTAATGCGGCATGCCAGGGCATGCTTCTGTGCCGGAAGCGTTGGCTTAAGCACAGTTTTGCAGCACAGGCGCTGTCATTGGCTGAGATCAGCAGCCCCCCGACTAAACTGCATGCTCCCAGCTCGTGCCATATTTCCTCCCCTGTGAAAGTTCCAACATGACCAACTCCGAAGGCCTCAAGCTCGAGGAAATGGAGATCCTGGAGTCAACAGTCTAGGTTTAGCAGTCTCTGAGCCTTTTCAGCCTGGAGCCATCACCCTTAAACCCCAAGTCTCCAAAGCCTTGCGGCAGCCATGGGCAGAGCTTGCTCAGGGTCGCCGCAAGGTTTCCGGCGTGAGGTGCGGAGAGGGGGGGCTCCAGTATCAAGACTAGCAGTAGCGCTAGTAGGTGTTGTATGAGCATGAGTCTTTGTAGCTTGTATTGCAGCTTGTACTGCCTGCTGTTGTTGGTATTCTTGGCACCAATTCCGACCCCTGTATTTTCGGGATTGACAGTTGACAGGATTACGGGTTTGGAGGTTCAGGGTGTAGCAAGCAGGGAGCTCAGCCCCTGAAAGCCCTGCTGCAGTTTCGCCTGGTCTCCGCAGCGGCCACCTGGGCAGCCAATTGCATCCTCGTACTCGTCCTCTTCCTCTTCCTCGTCGTCGTCCTGGTCCTGTTCCTATTCGTCGTAGTCGTCGCAGTACTGGTAGTCGTTAGTCATGTTCTGCTACAAGACTCGGCACTATCCGCATTTAGCAAAAAAAAAAGATCATGGACAAAAGCACTGCATCAAAGGGGTCCTGGAACGCATAGAGCCAAGTGGGGATGGTCGTGACCCGGGAAGTCAATCTAGCGCCCAACCCGACGCACGACTCTACGCCCGAAACTTGCTTGCGCTAGTTGCTGAGTGTGGAGTTTGTAAGTCTAGCAGATATTCGATGAATCCTGCAGAAGTGCAAAGACCGAACCAGACCAATGCAAAGTCGCGACCCAAGCTGAGTTTCGGCCTGGAATCTTGAATGTTAAGGCGGGTATGAGTCTGCTCTAGACCTAAACCTTCCGTTTTGTGTCAGCTTCAGTGATGCCCAAGTCCCCAGCAACGATTTGTCCTGCCCCGAAAGCCTGAAAGCCGCTGGACCTTGATGCGAACATCCGAAAAGCCTCTGTGCTAAGGCCTCAGCCAGCTTAAACTCATATCCGTCTAGACTAGTAGAGGTCCGTACTGCGGTACACCCGCCAGCCCTGTTCAGAACACTGCAGGTTTTGGGCTTCGGCCTCTGCGTCACTGTCCATGCCCTCCTGGCTTTCTGCGCTCTTGGCCGGGAAGAGCACCGACGCGGACGCACAGGATCGCGCAGGGGGGGCCGAACACAGTGTGCAAGCGGTTCTACTAATCGCTACCCTAGCTGTAGGCCTTGGACAATAGCGAAACCCTTCTCTCAAATCCTTTAAAATCTCGAAAAGAAGCTGGGAAGCTGAGCAGGTCTACAGGCGTTCAAGCCGAGGCAAAAGCACCTTGGCGCTGGGATCCTAGGCTTGGGGGGGGGTTCAGGGCTTTTGGGCTTTTGGGTGTTTAAGGTTTCAGGTTTCAGGGCCTAAAGCCTTAGGGCATAGGTACCTGTGGTTTTTCAGGATGCAGTAGGGTTTAAGGCTCCAGAGTAGAGTTGCTTTGGGGGTTTAGGATTTGGATTCTTGTCGGGGATGAGGTTTGCATCCATTCGAAAGCATCCATTCGATAGGTTCGGGTGTTGTAGACTGAACATCAGCGTGTCCCCAGGCCGTTCACCCCGAAGCTCAATCCCCGTAGCCCGAGACCCTTGATCCTTGAACCCAAAAGCCTAAACCATAAGCCCTGAACCCAGAAACCCTAAACCCAGCTCTCAGTCGTGCGATGAGGTGGGGGGTGTGTTTACATGCCCTTCCGCAATGCGGATTCAGATGCTTGAGACTTCAGGCAGGCGGAAAAGGCGCTCTAAAAGCATTCCTGCACCCAAAGCTGAGGCAGCAGAACTTCTTCCGTCGGCCACTCCGGCCCTCCCGCTTCGAGGAGTCGGGAGTTAAGGGGCGTTGGGGTGGGTGCCAGGGTTTAGGGGTTTGAGGTCCTGGGTTTGGAGTTTAGAGAGGAAAAGATTGAGGGTTGCAGGCTTTGGATTTTAGCATCTGACACCCCCAATCCCAAGCACCAAGGACCAAGAAGACTTTCAAATCTGCGCTTCAGACCCAGAAGCCCACATCGAAAAGTTACATCGCCTACCAATAAGGATTCTTCGGTATTCAAGGTTGAAGCCACCATGAAAAACCCCAGGCAAACCCCGTCCTACCAGGACGGCCCCGAGAAGGTCGGCGACGGCCGCGGAGAGTGGCAAGGTTGAGGGGCGGGGTGTTGTGAAGATCCTCGGTTTAGGGCTTAGGGTTTAGGGAAGAGGGTTGAAGGTTTAGGGTTTAGGGTTTAGTTTAGGGTTTAGTTTAGGGTTTAGTTTAGGGTTTAGGGATTAAGGTTTAGGGTTTAGGGATTAGGCTTCAGAGCTTCAGGCTTTCCAGGTTTGAGACTAACTAAGGACTTGGGGTGTAAGCCAATCGGCAATTGAGCGTCTTGGCTCCCAAACCCGCAAAGTAAGCTGCTCCACACCTGATTCGCATAAGGTCAAGATTCTAGCTGATTTTTTTCTGCCCTTGACAAGTTTTTCGTACGGATTGCGACAAGCTCAGCCGAAGGGTCCATGAGCAGCATGTCAAGAAGGGTTCCCTCGGTTTCTTGATCCCGAAGCGTAGAACCTTTTTAGATGCCAGCGAAGGGGCAGGCAGGTGAAGTATCTGTTCCGTTGACGGCAGTCAAGGGCATGGAGTGCCTGTTTGTTGCTTCTCTCCGTGCCATCCCCATGCTCTCTCACCTACTTGTTGGGTCTCCTTCTCAAAGTCATCGCTTCCTCGATGTAGCCCTGCTCATTGGTATCCCAGTCCTCTCGGCGGCCGCCTGGAGCTGTCTCTAGGATGCTCGGGAAACATGCTGTGGTGTAGTGCGAGAGACGGCTGGGGTCCCCTGGGCAGACATTATGAGACTTGCGATAGCTGCTGCTCCCTGAGGTGACGAAGGCCAGTACAACATCAACTGGCAGGATCCGAACATTGGCAAGAAGCAGGGAGAATACAAACCCGAAGAGCCCCTGGATGACGAATGGCTAGAGCCAGATGACGTCAGCGCTGTGCCCGACGAGTTCGAGGACGACGAATCCGACGAACGGAGGCCATGGCGTCGCCAGCGGCCGCTGCGACGCCGCGCCCGCACGCGCTTCATGGAGGACGGGTCCGAGTCCGACCCGTCTGCCGCGCAGGCGCCAGCCGCCCGAGCGGCCCGAGCACGCCAGCCGGCGCCGGCTGAACAAGGCGGTTCCCGCCGGGAGCCTTGGAGGCCCCCGGTCTTTCGGCCCGGTGACAGCAATCCGGGTCCGGCTGAGTCTGCAAGAGGCCGTTCCCAGGCGTTTCGGGACCGAGAGGCACCTCGCAGGGGTCAGAGCTGGCCGGAGAAGCAGCCACGACAGCAGCTGCGGAGGATCGAGCTGGAGCCACCAGTTCGACCTGTGAACCTGGAGGCCATGGCCGCTAAAGGCCTGCCGAAGATGAACCTCTACCAGCGCCGCGGCGGCAGGTTTGCTTGGGCATGCGAGTTCCGATGAAATGCCTGTATAAGCCTAAGCACAGCAGCATGAGCCGCGAACCCCGTGGGCTTCAACTCCAAGGTTGGATCCCTACGATTTCGATTACTACGTCATTCGGGAGCTCGGCTTGGAGAAGCAGGTCCGGGGTGTTGGGGCGCTGAGGTGTGCGTGCGAAAATTGGGCTTGGGGATTCATTTTTTGAGCTTGTAACTAACTAATCGGGGTTTCGGGTTTTGGGTTTCGGTCTCAAGCCCGCTTAAGGGACTTAAGGGTTTGGTGTTGAGTCGAGGGGGAGGCTCTAAGGTTTTCAATCGTCGCGGGAGTGTGGGAACAGACGAGTCGGGAGGCCAAACCACGATGGCTCAGCCATGCCTCCGAGCTCAAGCCTGAAGCTCTGAAGTCCAAACCCTCAACCCTGGACGCTGAAACACCCCGCCAAAGGCGCAGGTTTCTTCTTTAGGTCCTGGGATTTATGTACTTTACGAGCCCAAAGAGTCCTTTGGACAGAGCTGTATGTCAGCGTCTCTGTATCTTAACACAAGCCCCTTGCAGGTCACCAAGCAGCTGCGGCAGTGGATCTACGAAAAGGGAGTCCAGGACCGTGTTCGAAACCCTGAAAGTGGGTCCGAACAGAAACACACCCTCCAAGTTGTAGCGACATCCAAATCCCTGCATCCGAAGCCTCAAAGTCCTCGGCCGCTCTCTAACTAAAGCCTTCAACCCGAAATTTGGAAAGACCTTTCCTCAGGACCTAATCCTTCAAACCCCTAAGCCGAAAACCTGCAGCGGCCATGTCCAACTGAAGGCCGTGGCTTGGGAGGTTGTGGTTCAGATTTAGGCTTTATAGGGATTGGCGGCTTGAGATTGCAAGACGACCTCTCTAGTGGTTTAGTGCCTGCGGGGCTTGTTGTTTTAGATTCAAGGTTCTACCCTCGTCGTAACATGTAGCGAAATCGCACCCTGACCCGCAAGCCTTTAAGCCTTAAGCCTTAAGCCCTATGTCTTTGCCCAAACCGTAGAGGACTTCTTGGAGATGAAGAACATCGCCCTTGGCGCACGCCTCGGATCCTTCCTGGGCAATTTTCGAGAGCAGGAGGGAATCTCCGGTAGAGCCCAGAGGCTATATACTCAGACTGCCGGGAGGATCCAACAAGTAG